CACTTCCCGGTCTGTACATCAGGACCAATGGGGTGAACTACTTAAAGGAGCAGTATCTTCATGATAGCACTGGTCTTGCAAGAATCTTTGTTGAACCATACTTAAAAGTTAGGAGAACCTACACATTCTGTATCTACTGATGTGACAATATTCCTACAGCATATTCCCCTTATACATCAAACTCCTAATCTTTGACAAAAATCACCCTGCCATAAAATGAAGGCATTGTATACTCATGGAAGTGAATCCAATGATGAAGATGTTCCTGACAGCCATGCAAAGTCCTTGTGTATGAGACCGAACTCTAGTGTAAATCTTTATAATGCCTCATCATTCCTCCGGAAGCATTCTAATAGCAAATATTTTGCTGCTACAAATCTTTATTCATTCCTGTTCATTTCTCACAAAACTCTGTAAAACCTTCATATGTCCACCTCAAAAACCTTTCTTTTTTTTTTTTTACATTCTCCTCAGAAACCTTCAGCGTCCAATCCATAGGTCCTCTTCACAAACCCCACTCCTTCATATGTCCTTCCCACAAACCTACCACTTCCATATGTTCACCTTAGAAATATTTCACATTCTTATGTCCTTCACAGAAACCTCCATCTTCCATATGTCCTTCTCACAAACCCCATGCTTATATACATCTTTCTCACAAACCCCTCTCTTCCATACATCCTCCTCACAAACCCCACTCTTCCATACATCCTCCTCACAAACCCCTCTCTTCCATACATCCTCCTCACAAACCCCACTCTTCCATACATCCTCCTCACAAACCCCGCTCTTCCATACATCCTCCTCACAAACCCTACTCTTCCATACATCCTCCTCACAAACCAAACTTTTCCATATATCCTCCTCACAAACCAAACTCTTCCATACATCCTCCTCACAAACCAAACTTTTCCATATATCCTCCTCACAAACCAAACTCTTCCATACATCCTCCTCACAAACCCCGCTCTTCCATATATCCTCCTCACAAACCAAACTCTTCCATACATCCTCCTCACAAACCCCACTCTTCCATACATCCTCCTCACAAACCCCACTCTTCCATACATCCTCCTCACAAACCAAACTCTTCCATACATCCTCCTCACAAACCCCGCTCTTCCATAGGTTCTCCTCACAAACCAAACTCTTCCATAGGTTCTCCTCACAAACCAAACTCTTCCATACGTCCTTCCCACAAACCTAGCTCTTTCATTTCCACCTCAAAAACCTTTCTTATTCTTATGCCCTTCCCAGAAACCTCTATCTTCAACACATCCTCAGTCCAAGCCTTACTGTTCCAAATGTTCTCCTCACAAACCCTACTCGACCATAGTCTCCTCACAAACCTCACTCCTCCATACGTCCTTCCCACAAATCTACCGTTTCCATATGTCTAACCTCAGAAACTTTCCTCTTTCTTATATCCTCCTCAGAAATCTCCGCCTTCCATGTGTCCTACTTTTCACTCTTTCATAAGTTCTTCTCACAAATCTACCTCTTCCATATGTCTTCCTCCCAAACCTTTATCTTCCATATAATTTCAGCTGTAGTGAAACACACTGGGGTAATATGTTAGCATTTATATGCTGCCCTCTGAATGGACAGAGACGGAGTGACTGGCCTTCATTTTTGCTTAGCATACACAAAATACATAGATTACACTACACACAAACAAAGGAGGACATGCTAAGAGTTTTAGTTCAGTGTGAGGTTCAACATCTTGAAAGAAACATCATCAGAAGAGCCTGCATTGATTTACAGTTGTCGAGTGATGATGTTTCTGGAAAAACATCCAAGTTCACAGTCAGAAAATAGTTTCCTTTAAAAGCTTAATCCACTAACAAGGTCTGTTGGAGATTGTATGGGTCTGAAACAAGTTGTCCACCAGGGAAAACATGATTCCAGATTGCATCACGAGCATCTAGATTTCTATCTTCCACATTCATAACGACATGGTCCAAGAAATATAAAAACCACCTGTGATGAGATTAATGAAAAATCAAATCTACATTTGCTCATGGCAAGCAGTGTGTAGGCCCAGGTGTCTAGCTGTGATTGACAGAGGAGCCGAACACATGGCTAGACTAAAGTATACTGACTGAGCAATTGGGTCACCACCTCTGCGCCCTGAGGTCTCTCTCCTGCCAAAACACAATAATCCCCATCATGTGTGGATTAATCATCTGTCCAACAACAACTAATATCTACTTTTGGATGGGGTGGGGAAAATTAGAATCTGTGTTAGCTTTATTTTTACAACTGTCTGTGTCCCTGATTGGGGAAATGTCTTATTATTTCCTGTTGTGCCACATGGAAAGGTGGTCAGGGAAAATATACCCAAGTGGAAGTTCTACCTATGACAGATGTAACTATACTAGTTGTCGCTATTGGATGATTCCCCCCCCAGTGGTTCTGATGACTACTGTAAAATTGTATCTTTCCCTTCATTCTCGCTCCTGATGACAATGGTCACTAGGTCACAAAGTGACATTGGCTCTACCCAATAGAGGAGCAGACAGCAACAAAAACCTGAAAGGTTCTAACAATTTCCCACTCTACCCAAAACTAGAAGAACTATTAGGCTGGGATTCTACTTGAAAAAAGGTCCTTCACCCCTATTTCTTGTGCCCCAGCTTTCATGGATGAACTCTTTAGGCAGTACTGCAAGTAAACAGGAGTTCTACCGAGTGACTAATGTGTACAAAGTGCTCTTCAAAGTAATATCCGATTCTGCAGATGTTGGGCTCCCAAAGGTAGCAGCTGAAAAATCGTTCTCTTTCACAGGAAAGTGGACTACCGTTCCAAGACTTTGGCGAGGAGAGGCGGGAATACCTGGATGTTTCTGCAGCTCTCGGTGTGAACACATAGCTGACATACTTCCAGTGACTGTGGGATACAGGAAGACGGCTGGAAACATTCTGCGGCCCTGCTTATTATGGCAAGTGCGCAGTCGAAAACTGGGGATAAACACCTGGAAGGCTATCTACAACATGAGCCAAAAAAACCTCTTGGAAATAAAGATATATAATGTCACAGCAGTATCAGATCTGATCATTAATTATTGCTCCCGCTTGATTTAGGGATTTTTCAAAGACTGGCAACGCAGGACTCCCCTTCGAGCTGCTGAATGCTGAACGTGGCTGATGCGCATTTTACCTGACCTGGTAGAACAGATAAAACTCCTGAGTCAGCTCATTAGCTTTACCAGACTGCATAACTACTTATACTTGTTTAATTACTAATTCTCTGCCTACTTGTTTCATTTCAGCTTCTTGGAAGGGAGACAGTTTGGAGAATTGAACTTTTCCACTGAAATCAGAGTTTGGCCCTCTGTACTGAAGATACAGTGGTTACACTTCATAAGCATCCAAAAAGACCAGTACAGGGAATAATTTCTGCTCCCCATTTCTCTGGGAGAGGCTCCAAAATGCTGCTTTTAATATAAGTTGTAGAACTCTTCCACAACACGGCTGTAACTCATAGGCGGGAGCCAAGAATACCCCATGTAAACAGTGGACGGGCCAAGGTTACCAGGCGTACAAGAGACTCTATGCTACCTGCCCTGGGCTCTGAACTGGCTACTAACACCTCAATCATCAAAGGCTGGTCAATCTCCTCTGCTGATTGGTCACTTCTAGGCCTAAAAATAAAGGGATGGTACAAAAAAATGATGTTTTTTTTCTATTTCTTTCCAACTTTCGCCCTAAAAGCTACAGCTATGCAATTTTCATGTCCTTTCATTGTTAGATTTAATCAAATTTGAAAAGAAAAGGCAGATGCTAATTATGGTACCAACACCACTAGTGAAGCATTACAGGACCACAGCCACACATGTTTACTGATATATTTCATTTACAAAAAATTAAAAGAAGACAGTGTGGCCTTGTTGGAGGTCTAAGAGCGTGGACTGTTTTTATGCCCTTTAGCCTTACTCTAGGTGCTTTAGAAAGATGGTCTTAAAGTCTATGTAAAGCCCAAACTTGAATGGTTAAGACCATGGTGCCTGACCCTCAGGCCTTGGCCACTTACTGTGCAGAGTCAGAGCCCAAGATGATAGATGTGTTTTTGGTGACTACTCTGGCCAGTGAAGGAAAAATAGTATTTAGACCAAGTTCTACTAGTTACATTTTTTTGTTGTCTGTTCATTTTGCCTTTTTTTTTCTTTTTACCACAATCTTTTATAATTGATCTTGCGCACAGAATAATATCAAATGTGGCACAAGCAATTTTTAAGGGGGCTATTGGTAGCACAAATGGGGGCTTGCTGATTTGGAAATGGGCTCTAATAGCAGTGATCTCTATCAATCCCAATGAATGTGTCTCCTGAAGCATGTCCCCAGTCCCCAACAAACTCCCATAGCATGTTCACCATCTCTGACCATTTCCTGTTGCATGTCTGCAGTCTCTTACAGCTATCTGTAGCATTACATTCACTGAATAGTATGTGTGCCCCTTTGATGATGTCCGGGGACTGCGCTTGAGGTCCCCTATATCAAGTAAGTTGACCACCTTTGAGTTAAGGACTCTGTTAGGCTTGGTCTGTGCCCTACTGTGGAGCATTTCCCTTCACTTCCTGTAACAGAGACACAATAGGAAGTATGTGTAAAACTCTCCAAACCAAGGAGAAATCCCCTTTTAAACAACTTTCAACGGGAACGGGTGTCCCCATCGAAAGATTCCTCTCTATCGCTGTTCCATTGACAACTGTAAAATGTTGAGTTTCCCATCTCTTTCTCTGTCAGAGACGATGATTACCACAACAAACAGAAAGGATGAATCTCACCAGAAGGAGCACAGGCATCAATAAAAACATGAGAGAGTTTCTAACTAACCCTTCCGTCTAAAAACAGTCCCCAGGCAGTGATTGCTATCAAAAACATTGTAGTTATAATATGAGGTATTGAACATTGACAGTATGGAATATGGAATCATCTGGATAATTTCCCATGAATCCACAGTCCAGCACCAGGGAGGAAGATCAGGTCTGTATGACTTACCGGCTGCGTTGTATGAAGTGTTTGTTGGGGTTCTGCGCGAGAAGCTTTTTACCGCTAAGCTTTGCCCCCTCTGCTTCCTGCGCCAAGCTGTGCGGCACTTGGAGTCAATGCTTTGCTTTATCCGATACCAGTCGGACTCTGTGATCCGGAACTTGTGGAACAGATGACCTGTGTAAGAAAAGTAATAGAACCACAATTACTACTTTTAACTTTATTTTTAATTCCACCTAACAGTCAAACATGTTATATAGACAGGGCACGATGTTCTCTTGGTACTTGTGTGGGTTTCCTCTGTGTACTCTGGTTTCCTCCCACACTCTAAAGACATGCTGGTAGGTTCATTGGCTCCTTTCTAAAATGGCCCTGTACGTGGGTGCATGTGAGATAGGGACCATAGATAGTTACCTCATTGAGGGCAGGGGCTGATGTGAATGAATAATATGTAAAGTGCTGCGTAAATTGTCGGCATTAATAAATACTTTTAACATGCTTGTTTAGTGTAGAAAATAGATATTCAGGGGAACATTAGAGTTCTGTTCACATTATGCAGGTTTCAGTTGTATAACACGGCTGCTTGATGACTGCACCACACTGGCATTTCCAATTAGTTAGTATACTGTACCATACTGGCATTTTCCACTGCTTTGTATATTGCACCAGACTGCCATTTCCTAGTCCTTTGTATACTGTACCACACTGGCATTTCCCATTAGTTAGTATACTGTACCGTACTGGCATGTTCAACTGCTTTGTATATTGTACCACATTGACGATTTCCATTCCTTTGTGCATTGTACCACACTAGACATATGCAACTTGTTTCGTTTCGAATTAAAAATTCAGATGAATGTTCCAAAATTCAGACATTCGGACACATCTCCCGGGCGCAGCTCCCGTATGCAATTTGGAAATTCGGATCCCGAATGCCATTCGGGTCTAGGAGATTCAGCTTTAGTATTAATATCTGTATATGGTTTTCTGTGGTATTCGCAACGAAATATTCGTAAACGCTTCCGAAAGTAACAAAAATTCCAATTTCGCCTGAATCTGAATTAGGAACCAAACTGAATTTCGGATCAGAATGCCGAAATAACGAAATATCCAAACCAAACCGAATTTTTCCGCAGCTTACATGTCTATACCACACTGACATTTCCCATTCCTTCGTAGAGAAGGTGTTCATATCGCTGAACTTCGCATGATATTAAAGTAAGGAAAGCATCAACAGGAAATTATCCCATCGCAAGCCAGAAACCATTATGCACTAAGGCCTAAAAGGAAAAGTACATATTGTGCAGAAAATGGGAGTGCTTTTATATGAACCGGAGGAGCAAAGCCTTTATAAAGGAACAAAATGAAGGAAAAGTTCCTATTCAAAGACACTTAATATGATTACTGTAGTTTTAGCCAAAGAAAGTGTTTGTTTTTTTTGTTTCCTTGCCCTTTTGTTCAGAAGAAAGTACTTAACTTTTGCTTACCCACGCCAAGGTAAAGTTCTCACCTTTGCTGTACCATTTAGGTATCCAACCCCCACCACCACCATTCACAACTAAAAATAAATTAAACTGGAGGTTTCGCAGTCAGCGGATCTGGATTGGGCTCTTCAGCAGACATTGTACACAAACTTTTGCAAATTTCCGCACCAACAAAATTAATTTGCATAAATTGCCACACAAGAGTCATTGTATAGGGGAATGCGGACCGGCTAATAACAGTCCACATCGAGAAGTTGAATTTTGAAGAGATTTGCGAAAGTCGTCCAATATTAACAAACTTGGCCCAGCACCCCTTCGCAGAACGCTTGTACCATATGAGTCCACCGCCACAAAGGCGTGTAGCCGTAAAACTTTGAACTCACAGAGCTGAAATAAACTATAGCTTTTGACAGCTCGCTCTTTGGCAGACTATAAACATATTCTTTAATCATAACTTTGCATTTTTGCAAGCTTGAGAGATTTCATATGTGAAATGGTCTGTTTTGGTAGTGGCTTGGGTCCCAGGACGCCATTTGAAATACTGGAGGGAAAGAAAGCCAATTGTAGGGAGAAGGGGAAAAAAAACATTTCAAAACAAATGTGCACAGAAGGGAACAATTCAATCACTTCAACCTATAAAATTGAATGAAGCGTGGTTAGTCCACTGAACCCAACTGAGAAGCTGCCGTGTTCTATGCTCATATACACAGCAGTGGGAACCTTTATATGCAATAGACTGAAATCCTTTAAGCTGCCCAAACACGGAGTGGTCAGGCTGCTTAGAAACAAATGATCAGATTCTTGGTTATTAAAAGGGAACTATAATCTTTTAGGATATACAGTACATGTGAAAGCCATTGTGGAAGTAGAACTTTGCACAGGAAATTAAAATATGCGAACAGTCAGGTAAGAATCCTTAGACATACTATGTCTCTTCTGCAATAAAGGATTCTTACCTGACTGTTCGCAAACGTCTTGACAATGTATTCATGCACAGCTCAGTATGCGATCCCAGCACCTGCGGAGTGTCAGGATCAATGAAATCTCCCTACCCATACTCATGAGTTATAGCATCCAGGCATGGCCAATAAAGATGGCCGAAGACCCTGAACCGGGAACTCTCAGTGAACAGTCGCAGCACCTGCCAGGTTTAGGGATACATGAACTTCCCTGCCCATGCGTGGGAGTTAAAGCACCCATGTGTGACCAATCAATATGGCCAAGGACACCAAGCCCTCAGTGTGCAACCGCAGAACCTGCCAGGTGTCCGGATGAATGAACTTCACTGCCCATGCATGGGGCGTTACTGCATCCAGGTGAAGACATTCAAGATGGGTGAACCGCTAACCTGGAACCCTCAGTATGGAATATCGGCAACTACTGGGTGTCAGGATGCATAAACTCCCTGCCTATGCACAGGAGTTAAGGGATCCAGGCGCAGCATATCAAGATGACTAAAGATCCCAAACCCACAATACCAGTTGAAAATGTAGGCACTGGCAAGGGGAGGGGAGTGTAGTTCTGCTTTTTTTACATCTTTTAGGTGTGCATTTAATAAAAATCCATTTATATGTGTGGTTTGCAATTAAAAGTCACATTGTATTATTACATAGGCAGGCTCTGCTTCCTGCTTGTAGTGTCACACAGCAGTTGTGCCTTTCAGACCCTCTTATTTCAGCGTAGATCTATCAGACAGCGTTTGTCTGACTATCAACAACAAACTTTAAGCAGTATCTGCTGACATCACACAGCCACAAAGCTCCTGATATCCAAACAAGACACCATGTGCTCTAGACTTGCTAGGGCACAAAAGGGCATTTGGGAGCAACGGGGATTTCCTTCCCCACTACCACCCAGGAGGATGACACCAGCCCAGAAAACCAAAGATGTGAGCATGTACCAAAAATTCAGATGAATGTTCCAAAATTCAGACATTCGGACACATCTCCTGTATGCATACGGGAGCTCCCGGACGCAATTTGGAAATTCGGATCCCGAATGCCATTCGGGTCTAGGAGATTCAGCTTTAGTATTAATATCTGTATATGGTTTTCTGTGGTATTCGCAACAAAATATTCGTAAATGCTTCCGTAAGTAACAAAAATTCCAATTTCTGGCCAATTCCGGCCACTGCCATTCCGATCACCAGTCTGATTGGCCCTTAGTGTGGAAGATACCTTGAGAGCACTCACACATACGGAAAAAAAAATAGAATGGCTCCTCTGATGAGACTGTGACTAGGAAGAGTGAGGTGGAATATGCAGCTGCTGTATGAATATCAGAAACATAACAAAACTAAACTTTTCATTCTATTCCTTACAAAAAAAAAAAAAATCTGGATTCTCACAGGAACTGGTATGTTTAAGTCACTATTTCATTTTTATATACTTAAAAACAAAGAGAAAGGTATTCATTTTTTTGTCAGCCACTGTTTGGTCATAATTACCCTATTAAATTTATTTTCACAGATTCTTTGATATGAGAAGGTAGCAGCAATAAAACTTCTATTTTGTTTTGTCCTTTTTCAACCACCGAGCTGTAAAACTTCAAACTCTGAAATGTGGTTATTACTATTTTTATATCATTTATTATATGTATAATATTATATAGTATTATTACATAACCCCCCCAGATATGCACATCTTCCTCCGAGCGCATTGGGCAATCTCCACATTACAGCCTATGCGGCAGTACTGTGCGATTCTGGCTTGTATCTCTCGCTCTCTCCCTGTGTGTTTTCTATGGCAGTTATTTTTATCTCCAATTATTGAACATTTTTGCGGTGTATCCTGTTACGAATGGTAATGGACGGTAAAGACAGAAAATACTTTGACAGCCCCTGTGTATTAGAATCCATAATTATGGGGATTAATGTAGTCCATCGATTCTCCTGGACCTGCCAGGGCCAATTAGCTGAAATAATCTTAATACATTATACGGCATCAAAGTGTTTCCATCCAGTAAAAGCAGCGAGGGAGAGGAGACTCCCATAAAGGATTTAACAATGAGTGGTGTAAAGGGAGAGCGAAGAACATGATGTAACACAACGTTGCACAGAAAACCGATAAATATTACCAAGTTGGTGTATAAAGTGCATCTAGAACATTTATAGGAGACAACAAATTTTACAGGGCGCACCACGAACTAGTCTCATCACAGCCAGCTCGGTTTTATAGACTCATTCCTGAGATTATGGAAACTGGCTTGTTTATTGACTTGATTTGAAGTGAATGGCAACAAAAAGTCAAATCAGACCTGTATTCAAATGTCAGGTCTCTAAACAAGCCAGAATTGTCTGCAACAGAAGAGGTAGTATACTTATTCTCTGGTGGACGGTGTCTTCTACCTTCCCTCTGTTCCAGCTCTGGTGTTTTTCCCTCTGTTCCAGCTCTGCAGCCTCTGTCAGGTTCTTTAGATTTGACGTTTCCGAGAGTATCGGATGCTTGTCACTCCTGTAAGTGCCAAAAAGATGGAGGCTACTGAACGGAGGAAAGGTAAGAGGCACGGGTTGTCAGAGAGGTGATTGTGAATCGGCACAGGAAACCGGTGTTTTGATTTGTTAATTTAAAGCTATGCCAATGGTCTCGCTGGGATAGATAAATAAAAGGGTATCGAAATGGCTGAAATCCATCAGCATTTCTGGCCCCATAATGGGCCACTAGACTCTTAGGTTATCAGTGATAAAATAGAATG